ATATATATATATATATTCTTATGTCACAAATTGGGAGGCACATTTTAAAGTTGAAAGAAAATTACTTTCTTTCTTTCTTTTACAGGTAAAAAAAAATATTCAGCCCCTTTACTCTGACAGCTCTTAATAAAATTCACTGCCACTTCCAATCTTCAAAAGTTGCCCGATGTATTAAAGTTGACATGTGGGTAATTTTTTTCTGTCCTTGTTTTGTTCAATAATAGTGAAACAGCATTATGGTCACACAGCAGGCAGCTCGCGGGGAAAGTTGTGAAGAAGTTCAAAGCATGATTAGGTTTCATACTACTTTAATAGAGGAGGTAAAATGGAAACTTGATGTAAACTAGCATTTTAGGAGACACACTTACCTAGTACCATTTAGACTTGTTGATTGAAAAAATATTTTTAATTGAACAGTTATCTGCCAGAGCAGCATTTGGATAATATAAACAAAACTGCACATAAGAGTATCTAAAAACTTTTAATAACTGCTTACAAACTGACCCAATCATGGCTTGGATGGCACTTAGTGAGATGATAAAAACTTGGATCATTGTTTCTTAATCAAATCCTATTTTATGTGTCTGCTTTGTTCCTCGATCTGTTATGTATGAGTATGAACAAAATCGGTGCATCACCACTAATTAGAGAAGAACAGTATGAACACAATATGAGAAAAATTTAGTTTTCAGCTAGACACTCGCTGTTAAAAAGGGTAAAGACATGAAACAAGCCATGAAGCTGAATCATCATGCATGTATCTGGTTACAGATTCTTCTGTTTCTATAAAATACTTCTAGTGAAAGCTAACTAAGGGATATTTCCCTTTCTTTATATAACAAACATACTATAGTCATATTAAACCCAATAATGTAAGATTTTAAGCACATGGCTTTGGGGGACACCTAGGGCATCATACATGCAAGAATGAAAACTGATTAAGAAGTTTAAAACAGTAAGTATCAACTGAAGGAGGTTGTTAAGGTGAGGGCTGCAAATCTCCAAGGATTATTATTGAAAAACTGCTGTAACTTTTTCATTATAAGATTATTCTTTAACAAAGATATATAATTTTAAGGCTATGTTGCTGTATTGCTGGAATATATCAATAAATATAGAAAATACAAGCTTTTTATGTCTACTTACATTATTAAAGGTATAATAATAACCTTAGTCTCTGTATTATTTGAGGAAAATTGTACTGTAAACTCTTACTACTTCCTGTTACTTTCTGAAAGACCTTTAGCATGAATATGTGTGAATAAGGTCTGAGGAAATAAATTGTATGCCCTTTTAAACCGCTGTCACTTCATACATCAAGTGTCATTGGTAGCATTTACCGTATTTAAAGTGCTTGTTTTGTCTTTGGTGTTATTACTCAATTCAGACAGAACATGAAAGAGAATTTAAAAAAACAAAATCATTGACTGAAGATGTCATGTCTGGACATTGTTATGTTCCACAATTTTCTTTGAGCTTTCAGTAAGTTCATTTACATTGAATCATGACAGTGAAGGATTTTTAATTAGATCTTGGTCTTGGATTAATTGTGACATTTTAAATCCAAAGTCAGTCTTCAACATTCACTCCACAATTTAAAACCTTTCCCTAGATTAAGGGACCTGACTTAAAAATATTGGTCAATTTCACCAAGCCTCTGCTTAGTTTATCAGAGACATGCTGTGTTGAGTGTTGTGTTAGAACTGGGACACATTTGGAACATGCAGGACACCAAGCCCATTGGGACTGGAGATGGACACTCCTGATTTGAACCATTTATTTGTAGCTTTGGTTGTATGTTTAGTATCAGAGAGATTTTCTGACAGGACTATCCTGTATTTAAATCAGCCCATTACCCATCTGTTCTTGCTCTAGTTGATTCCTGGTCCTAACTGAAGGAAAACAACGCCACTGCGTAAAAGCAGCATTTCCACTGTCATATTTTAAAGTGGGGATGCTACGATTGGCTACTTTTTGAATATAGGCCACAGTGCACAACATAGGTCTCAATATGCAACACATCTTCTTCCAGTCTACGTTGTTTCGAGTTTTGGAAAAAATAAAAAATGAATAAATGTGTAGCTCTCTTTTAAGATGTGATTTTTTTTTCTGACATTATTCCTAAAAGATGAAATGTATAAGATGCAGGACTCAAGGTAATCCTACTTACAAACAGACCAAATCATGCATTGAACTGTGCTTAATGAGCTGGTCAAAATGTGGATTATTGTTTTCTAATCAAATCCTGGTTTTTGTTTCTCCTTGACCTGTCTGCTGTATTCCTTGGTGTTAAAAGTTGTGTATCTACCTCACACCGGACCCATTTCGAGGTGCTTTGGTACATAAAATCCAAATAAAACCCATCAATGTTTAGCTGTCTTGCTAATTCTGGCATATTTACATTGATGCTTTAAGATGACATGTTGATAAATGTGCAGTTTCCTATTTCAAATAAATAAATAAATAAATAAGAATAAATAAATGTTTATATTCATAACATAAGAAAATGGGAAAAAAAATGTCTGTCTGTCTATCTTTCTATCTGTATACTTTACTTTTTTTAATCATCAGCCTTTATTATTTAATGAAAACCCTCCACACAAAAGTGAGAAAACCTCATCAACTTCAGTTTATCGAGTCTGACTCCTTTTCTTGTCTTTTTCTTTGTGCTGTTGCTGTTATCACAATCACTCACCAATGTCAAGCTTTAAGTGTGAAAGCACTGATGTTCTTTTCCATCTATCTGCTTGAGGCGCTCAAGAGCTTTTCCACCATATCTTGCCTGGTCCCTCCTTTTTTCTATGCCTGAAAACGCCTGTGGGCTTAAATTGTTCAAAAAGCTTTCCCCTTCGAACTCCTGGCCTTATCACTTATTTATTGAATTTTCTGTCCCATATATTTTGTCTCAAATATAAAGTCAAAGAAAAGTGCAGCCTTTCATTATTTCTAAAGAAACCTGAAACAAATATTTAAAATAATAGAGAAAAACATTCGCTGTAATGAATAACTCCTTCATAGCTGCACACAGTACATTGAATAAAAGGAAAACATTAATTAATACCTATAAGATATACTGAAGCATTAAGTTGCTGATAGGCAGTTGGTACTGATTTTAGATGTAAAGTATTCAATATTTCTTCCTCCCTTCTTTAATTCACAGCAGTTTAAATTATTCAGAAAGACTTATACATTGAAGTTTTCATTACAAACAACTACCATACAAACATACATTAACAATATAAACTATTTTCACATATGATAACAAAATTCTATGTATTCTGGGGATTTGATGTTAATGAGCAACACAAAGTAGCTCATATGGTACATAAAGTAGAATGAAAATTATCCGTTCAGTTGTTCCGTGGGAAAAAAAATAAAAAATTCCTGCGTGGCATCAAATGGGAGCTTGCATGCTAATTCCGAAATGTTTTATTTAACCCCTTTTGCTTCAGTTACATTTTTGAGGTTTTGTTTGTTGTAAGAAGTGCTGGAAATTATTGGTCTTAGACCAGAGCAGGATCTCATGTCTTGGCTCATGAAAACCAGCTTTTCCAAATAATTCATAAAAGCTTTTTCTTGCTGAAATAAATGTACTGCTAAAAATAGAGTAAAAGTGGGTTTTAAAATGCTTTACTAATGTAGAAAATACATGTTATATAAAATACTGATTCTGTTTATTGCTTATTGTTATGTTACATATAACTTTACACAGAACCTGTAGAAAAATGTCGAATGTGTTTGGTAAGCAGTTCTGCAAGTGTGAAGATCTATTCCACTGCTTTACAGCCAAGACAAAAATAAGCACTATTCCCTCTTAAGCCAAACTTAAATTATCAGAACCTTCCCTTGAACATGCTTCATCCTGTTTCTTAACAATCATGACCACATTATAAGTCTTATGTTCCACCTGTATGATTCCTGTCTCCTGTCGGTCTCTCTGCCATGTCCATAGCCTTTAGCATCTCAGACCATATCACATCCAGACTTTCCATCCTGTCACTTGGTAGCTTTTTTAACTACCTTAGCAACTCTGTCAGGATAAAGTAACCACCACTACCAAAATCTTCAGAGTTTGCCACATCCAGAAAGGACATAACACAGTCTACAGTTTTCATGATCTTGATGCTGGTGACTGGGTTAATTACTAACTCCATTCACCTGTCTAACTCTGGCCAGTTTCCCATTACTGCATCTAATCCACCTGCTCCTGCCTCTAATTTCAGTCATTTCTATCCAGTCATCAGTGCCCAATTATTCTTGTTCTCTCTAGCCAGTGGTGAGAGTGTTTTAGAGTAACTTAGTGTTTCTGATTTCCTGATCCTGACCCATTTGCCTCTCACTTAGTCTGCCTGTTCTGAGCCGTCTGCCTGACCTGGCTTCGGTCACCTGTATGTTCTCCGGGGCTGCAGCATCTGGGGCACTCTGGGCGGCACCCACATATCTTGCTGGCAGCCCATCAGCTGGATCCTACTTTGTTCTCTGTCTATGGACTGAAATTCTAGACCTGGTTGGTGACTCGCATTCATAATATTCCTCAGTTAGTTTTGCGTGGTCACTAACCTGTGTTTTCCTCTCTCCAGAGTTTCTCTCTTAGACCCAATAGCCGCTGCTACTGCAGATCTGCAGCCTGTCATTTTAATTAACGCTTTTTGAATTATCCCACTGTCTGTCTTGTCTGAACATTGGGTCCTTTGTTATTAGGGGTGTAAATAATAATCGTTTTGTATCGATGCATCGATCCAACAGCCGACGATCCGATGCATCGACCCGTCCGCAAGAGAATCGATTCATGTTTTTTTTTTGTTCCAGGTGGAAAAAGGGTCCCAGCTTTCTCGTGCACCTCGC